CCCCCCCCCCCCCCGCCCCTCCTGCTTCCCACACTAGCTCAGTCCACAGCACCCCTCTTACCATTTCTGGGGCTGTCCTTGGGAGCACGGGGTGTTCCCTTTGTTCCTGTTTCATTCTAGTAGTTCCTCCCCACAGAGGGACTCTCTGGTCACCTCCTCTACTGCAGTCCAGCCCCTCGGTCTGGTAGCCATTCTGCACTCAGCCTTGTGAGCTCCCCTAGACCAGCCACATGTCTTCCCTGTGGGCCAAGAGGCCCTATCAGGCCCAACTCACATTCCTTCCCCTGTCTGTGCTTAGCTCTGGAAGGCCACTATCCCACCTGACCATCAGCCCACATTCCATTCAGCCAGGCCTGCCTTCCCTGTCCTTGGTCATTCTGTTGCCACTTCTGACTTCAGGAGCTTTACAACAAGCCTCCAGGGTTTAGTGGCTTCAGGGGAAGCCCACTGTGGCTGGGGATGAGGCTCCTCTGTTCCCTTGCTAGTGTTTCTGGAATTTGTTTTCCCTCTAGTCTCTTCCCTCTACAAGGGGCTTCTCAACTGGAGCTGAAGAGTACATGTCCATCCCATCATGCTATTTGGGGGCTGCCGGGTGGGCTGAGAACAAAGGGCCCCCAACCCTACATGCTGATCATAGCCTGCTGCCGGCCCCTCCGTCTGCCTGTCCCTTTAAGCATCATGCCCCCTGGATGCACGGGAGATTTGCTCCTTTGTTCCTGGACCAGCCAGAGAAGAGAGATGGTTATTTAAAGAGAATTCTCTATTTATTTGACCAAAAAAAAAAAAAAATTCCAGTTAATATATTAATGTGAAATAAACCCTGTTTGCACCTTGATTTGTTTGCTAAAACTGTGAAATAGTAAAAATGAAATAACTGGAAAAAAAAAAAGGAATGTAATTGTGAATCATATAAACTTTTTTTTTTTTAATAAGACACTGTCTTTCAATTTGACTGTACCATTTTTGCATTCCCACTAGCAATGAATGTTTCTGTTCCTCCACATCCTTGTCAGAATTTGATGTTGTGATTACTTGGGTTTTAGCCATTATAAATGGTATGTAGAGGCTGAATATGTGTTTGTTTGTTTTTAATTTCAACTTTCTAACTCCTAGCACTCTTTTATATTGGTATTATCATATTCTTATTAATTCTAATAATTTCTTTGTAAAGTCTTCTGTATCTTCTATTTATTTTTTTTAATATTTATTTTTTATTTTTTTCCAGTGGACACAACATCTTTGTTTGTATGTGGTGCTGAGGATCGAACCCGGGCCGCACGCATGCTAGGCGAGCGTGCTACCACTTGAGCCACATCCCCAGCCCCTGTATCTTCTATTTAGACAATTATCCTTTGTGAGTTGTGGCAGTTTTGTTCCTATTCTTGTTCCATATATTTTAAACAATTTCCTGTTGAAAAGGTTTTTCAGACATAGGCTGAAGGAATATAGTTATAATATTAACAATATAAAAGTTGAGACTTCTAGTATGAGGCTCCATAAATGTAGACAACCATCTTTATTGCTCATACTTACCAAGACAGAGGTCATGAATGGCCAATTTGTAGCTCAAGAGAGGTTCATTAACAATTACTCTAAGGAGTGGAGAGTTGAGATCAATGATATTGCACATGTTGGTGGCCTTGGGTTCAGTCCCCAGCACAAAACAATTAATCTAAGATTCTCAAAGCCTACTGGTTCAGGTTCAGATTTTCTAAACTATCTTTGATGTTAAGACAAATCTAACAGCAGGATAACAACAACAAAAATTTCCCATAAAGAGAAGCAAGAGGGTTTGAGGGTGTATGGATCTCAGTGGTGGGCATTTGCCAGCATGCAGAGGCTCTGGGTTATATCCCCAGAACTGCAATAAGAAACTCTTCTCTTAGAAGAGAAGAAAGAGAAAGAGGAGGAGGGAAAGAGAAAGCATGGGTGGGGAGAGAGAGAGAGAGATAGAGAGAAGAGCCTTCCTCACTAGGGGCAGACATCTTGGTGATATGGTTTACCTACACTTCATTTACTTTTAAGTGCAGGTGCTGAAGAGGGCTGAGCCTCTAGCTTTATCTAGGTTAAGCGGACACTTCTATGGATTTAGTGAATTATAATGTACTATCTCCCCCATCAAGAAGAACTGTAGTGCTATGAGGGATGGTCTGTGTCAGCCAGGATAAGATGGGGGTTGGAGAATAGGGGTAGCAGGATTGTGCAACACACGTTGCAGGTGTGGGCTTTGTGGTGTGGCAAAGACTAAGGGAAGGCAAAACAAAAAAAAAAAAACAAGGATGGTGTTATGGTTTGGATATGAGGTGTCCCAAAAGCTCACATGTGAGACAATGCAAGAATGCAAGAAAGTTCAGAGAAGAAATGATTGGGTTGTGAGAGACTTAACCCAATCAGTGAATTAATCCCCTGATAGGGATTAACTGAGTGGTAACTGAAGTGGTAGGGTGTGGCTGGAGGAGGCAGGAATTGGAGCATGGCTTTGGGGTATATATTTGTATCTGGCCAGTGGAGTCTCTCTCTGCTTTCTGATCATGATATGAGCTGCTTTCCTCTGTCATACTCTCCTGCCATGATGTTCAGCCTCACCTTGAGCCCCAAAGAATGGAGCTGGCCTTCTTTGGACTAAGATCTCTGAAACTGTGAGCCCTCTAATAAACTTTTCTTCCTCTTAAATTGTTCTGGTCAGATCCTTTAGTCACAGCAACAAAAAAGCTGACTAAAACATATGGTTGCTTTTTATAAAATATCAACTTTGGAGAAAGGATCAGCATACAAAGAAAATACAAAAAGTCATCCTTGGTTCAACTACCATTTGGGACTCACATTTTTATATAATATAAAAGAACAGATGGATAGATGGATAAGTAAATAGTTTAAAAAATAAATTTGTGCTTATAGTCAATATAGTTGTGTCTAGGATTTCCCCCCACCCCCTTTATAGTTCATGAATGTTTCTTTAAGTATAAATTCTTCAGACAGGTTGTTTGTAAACCTTATTTTCCAGGACAAGAGTGTTCACTGAGCAAGACCAGTGTGACTTCTAGGTTACAGAGAAATCTAAATCTCTCTGGAGGCTGAGCACAGTAACGCACGCCTATAATCCCAGCGGCTCAGGAGGCTGAGGCAGGAGGATGGAGAGTTCAAAGCTGGCCTGAGCAATTTAGCAAGGCCCTAAGCAACTCAGTCCTGTCTATAAATAAAATATAAAAAAGGGCTGGGGATGTGGCTCAGTGGTTGAGTGCCCCGGGGTTCAATCCCCAGTACCTAATAATAATAAAAAACTCTCTGGATAAGCATCCCTAGAAAGGATATCAGAGGAGCATAGGAAGGCTGTTTTTCTTCAGGGAGAGCCTCCCTTACCACACCCCATGAAGCCGAGAGTTTCCTTGAAAGGATACTTTGTGCCCTTCTCTGTGCTCTGGGCTTTCATTTTTTAAAGTCCCAGGCCTGGGGCAAAGACACCCCTCTTTAAGAAGGAAAGAGGAAACAGAAAATACAATAAAAGAAAAGAGTAAGAAGTTGAGGTGAAAGAGGAGTAAAGAAAGAACAAACCCAGGGGAGCCAGTGAAGTTTGCTCTGTATAATTTTTGTTTATTTGCTTCTTTGTTGTGAAAGAAGCAACTGGTGTGAGAATCTTGAGTACACCCAGCTGGGAGTCTGGTTTCTGATAGTTTTGACTTAGGGAGTCTGCCATAAAAGCATGAATAGGAAAAGCTGCCATTACTTTATGTCAACAGAGAAGTCATAGAGTCATTGAGAGAGAACTTCCCATTTTCAAACCTACCTTCTTTTAAAAAGGAAACAGCCCTGTATTTTCCTGTAATATCTCTCCATTTTTATTTTACTATTTTGCCTCAAATTCAATTTGACTTAAAATTAAACCATTGCCCTAACTTTACCACCCACTTCTAATTCAACTTCCTGGGAATTTTGGGGGTTTGTTTTATGTTTTTTGTCTTTCATTTAAAAAGCATGGATGGAGAACCCACCATGTGGCAAGATGCTAGATACCAGACAAGGGCTAAGCCTCTCTGGACCTGGAGGATACAGCATAGTTGGTGGGGCTGTGAGGGTGGCTTAGGTGGCACATTGTAAGTCAATGCACTAAAGCATAATTATGCTATAGGAACAGAAAGTATCCTTAAATTCCAGATATAATCAAGTAATTAACTTCTCTATTCCTCAGTGCCTTAGACTAAGTGAGCCCTGGTCATTTGTGCTTGGATGGTGCCATCAGAGAGACACCATCTCTAAATTTTCCTCTCTTCAATTTATCCTAGCCCTGATGCCAAATTTATAGCTTTCAATGACCTCAGTGACTACTGAATCAAGTTGGTATTCCTGCACCTGGCTCTTGAAAACCTCATTACTTACCCTCATTATGGCCTGCACAGAATTTTCTCTTCTATCATTGTTTCTTCTATGCCCTAGAAAATGTCATTCTCCTTCCTGCCGCCAGGATTTTGTTCTTGTTATTCCTCTGTTTTGGGCTGTTTTCTCCTTTCCTTCTGCATTTCCAGGTGCTTCACATTTCTCCGTTCGGCTTTCTTGGTGAGACCTTTCCAATCTCTCCAGTCCCTGCTTTGGTCTTCTCTGAATTTTTAATGCACTATGTAAGTCAAACTGGACTTTAGTTCTTTGTTACATACTGTCTGCTAGAATTAAATACCATCTAGGAGTAGACCTATTTCTTTTCATTCGTTCATTCTTACAAGTATGTGTTGCATAGCTTTTATGTGACAAGCATTAAGCACAGCTTTCATTCTCTGTGTTATAAATGCCTTGTAGGAAGCAGCAAGTTCCAGGACATTGAGCTTTAAATGTTTAACAAATTCTCAGGTATTGAGAACAAGACAGTTTTAGGTGGGGAGGCAGAGATTAATCAAAGTGGAAT